TCCAGCCTGGGTAACAAGAGCGAAACTCCGTCTCAAAAAAAAACAACTAATAATAGTGATAACTACCTTATAAGAGTGTTGTAAGAATTAATGACATACAGAGAGTTTCTAATTGCAGTAATTCACAGGCACACTTGCTCCCAATTATTAATTATTAGTGTTGAACACTCAACCAAAGAATGTAAAAAATACGAAAACACTTTGGAAACCATCATTTCCTTTTATTATTTTCTATGTGGGTAATATCAGTATAAACTTAAACACATTATTAAGTCCAAATATAGCTATACTTATTACTTAGATGCAACAAAATTGGAGAGTATTGGAAAAGGTATTAGAAAGCTGTCTCAGTGAAATCAGACATACAGGTTTAAGTTATAGGTCCCTTTGATGGAATACTTTAATCAAGTAATTTCTACTCTTCTATGTCTCAATGATATAAATGTCTCATTTGTAAAACAGTTAGGTAAAAATGCCTATTCTTACAGGCTCAAACTAGATAATGCATTTAAAACCTCTTTGCAAACACCAAGCACTACACCGATGCTGAGTTCTATTAATTGCTTTCCTTTGAAAAAATACTCACCTCCTTCACAGTCACAGGGAAAACAAAATGGAAAGTGGGCAGTGGTACATGGACCGGTTATTTACTCAATAAACACTTGCTGTTATCATAAACCTCAATACTTCCTACTCCCCAACCTACATTACTAGCGTGTTTTCGCTACATAAGATCACACTATTGCTGTTTCTCTTTTCTTGGTTCCACCGATTGGTCCTCATGGATTCAGGGCACATCTTATACAAAATCAGCAGTTTTCTCTTTTTTCAGATGGAGTCTCACTGTGTCACCTAGGCTGGAGTGCAGTAGTACCATCTCAGCTCATTGCAACCTCCACCTCCCTGGTTCAAGCAATTCTGCCTCAGCCTCCTGAGTAGTTGGGATTATAGGCACATGCCACCACACCTGGCTAATTTTTGTATTTTTAGTAGAGATGGGCTTTCACCATGTTGGTCAGGCTGGTCTCGAACTCCTGACCTCGTGATCCTCCCACCTTGGCCTCCCAAAGTGCTGGGATTACAGGAGTGAGCCATTACGCCCAGCCAAAATCAGCAGTTTTCAACTATGGTGGAGGTCATAGTCATTATCAAGGTCACACTAGCAGGTCACAGTCTATCCTGAACTAGGCCACAGTAATTGGCAAGACAATTTAGCAGTAATGTGAAATAGGCATCAGCCCAGGCTTTGTTTTTTCTGCTGCAGCAGATTCATGAGCCAAAGAATGAGAAGAATTTCACCTCCTTCCTAACCCAGAGCTTTAGATTCTAGACTTGGGCCTTCAGATCCCTTGTCTTTTCCACAGATACGGGGCTTTCCTTCTCCAAAAAGATGAGTAGCAGTTTTGTTTTTTTTTTGAGACAGAGTTTTGCTCTGCCGCCAGGCACCCAGCTGGAGTGCAGTGACGGGATCTCGGCTCACTGCAACCTTCGCCTCCCAGTTTCAAGCAATTCTCCTGCCTCAGCCTCCTGAGTAGCTGGGACTACAGGCACATGCCACCATGCCCAGCTAATTTTTGTATTTTTAGTAGAGACGGGGTTTCACCATGTTGGCCAGGATGGTCTCGATCTCTTGACCTTGTGATCCGCCCACCTCAGCCTCGAAGAATAGCCTTTTTGCATTGCCAAATGAGATGGCAGGAGTTTCCAGGTGAGTGCCCCTTCCAGCTGACCCTTCACAGGCTCCCTGAGATTAGCCATGCATCAGCATCACTCAGGGAACATATTTAGCATTTAGCCTTTTTTTTTTTTTTTTTAGATGGATTCTTGCTCTTTGCCCAGGCTGTAGTGCAGTGGCATGATTTCAGCTCACTGCAACCTCCACCTCCCAGGCTTAAGCAATCCTTCCACCTCAGCCTCCCAAGTAGCTGGGATTACAGGTCATGAGTTCGAGACCAGCCTGGCCAACATGGTGAAACCCCATCTCTACTAAAAATAAAATAAAAAAAAAAATTAGCTGGGCATGGTGGCAGATGCCTGTAATCCCAGCTACTTGGGAGGCTGAGGCAGGAGAATTGCTTGAACCCGGGAGACGGAGGTTGCAGTGGGCCGAGATCATGCCACTACACTCCAGCCTGGGAAATAGGGCAGGACTCCCACCGAAAAAAAAAAAAAAAAAAATCCAGACTCTGGCTTCTCTGGTACAATCAGAAGCTCTGATCATATCCGGTCTAGATAGCCATGTGGCCACAGCTGAGTAGAGCCTGCCTGTTCTACACAGGGCACAATCACTCATTTGTCACATCCTTATTACTTCCTATCTTCCTAATACCTGGCTGACAGGCATGTGAGTTTGCGGTCCCTAATCTGGGGCCACAGAGGGAAAAGAGTTGAAGAGAGGGTGGCTTGAAGCTTCAAGAACTGAAGGACCCCAATGCTCATCAACAGAGGAAAGGAGGCTGGGCGTGTAATCCTAGCACTTTGGGAGGCTGAGGCAGGAGGATCACTTGAGCCCAGGAGTTCGAGACCAGCCTGGACAACATAGTGAGACCCTGTCTCTAAAAAAGAAATATGTATATATATTTTTAAATTTAAAAAGACAGATGAAAGAAGAAATATAATTCAATATATCCATATGGTAGAATGTTATTCAGCCATAAAATGGAACATACAACATGCTACAACATAGGTGAGCTCTGAAAACATTATGCTAAGTGAAAGAAGCCAGCCAGAATAGACCATAGAATGTAAAAGCCTGTTTATATGAAATGTCCAGAATAGGAAAATCCACAGAGACAACAAGCAGATTATTGATTATCTAGGGTTGGGAGCAGGGGTGGTGGGGTAGGGCATGGAAGTGATTGGTGATGGACACGGGGTTTCTTTTAGGGGTGATGAAAATGCTCTAAAATGGTTGTAATAGTGACATAACTCTGTGAATAAACTAAAAACTACTGAATTCTACAGTTTACATGGATAAACTGTATGGTATGTGAACTATATCTCCACAAATTTTTAAATAATGAAACAAAACAAGAAAACATTAAAGGGAAGAAGGGCCTGATGTTAACAGTGGGTAGATCCTGGTAGACGGAAGGGAGAGGCTGCGGTTTGGTTCAGTACAGGGTCCTCTGTACCTCCTCATTGCAGAGCTCTTGGAGGGTACAGGAGCTAGGATGGTCACGGCTGTACGTGTGGGAGTGTGAGCACCCGGTGAACGCTGCTCAGGACCCATACCCAGGTGTTCGGGGGTAGGAACAGGGCAGTCAGCAGGGCTGTCTGGACATGGGCCAGTGGCACCAGTCACTAATACTGGTCAGGGTCCATTTAACTGGGCTGCCTGTAAGCCCTGGGATGGGGGCGGTGGTGGGGGTATGGTGCACGGGCAAGGGACGCCAAAATCATCTGACATTGGACTTGTCATCCTCAACCTTGGTGATGGCCACTTCAACTGAATTTAATTTTAGAAAAACAGGCCAGGTGCAGCGGCTCATGTCTGTAATCCTAGCACTTTGGGAGGCCAAGGCAGGCGGATCACTTGAGCTCAGGAGTTCGAGACCAGCCTGAGCAACATGGCGAAACTCCATTTCTGCAAAATAAAAAAATAAAAAATAAAATTAGCCAGGTGTAGTGGCACATGCCAGTAGTTCCAGCTACTTGGGGGGTGGGGGGAGCCTGAGGCAAGAGTATCACTTAAACCTAGGAGGCCGATACTGCAGTGAGTCAAGATCATGCCACGGCACTCCAGCCAAAGTTAAAAAAAAAAAGAAGGAAAAACAGAAAATGGTCATTTCTTGTTTTTGTTTTGTATGTACACACACATTTCTCAAATGCCACAGTTCGTGACTAATTCACTCTTTCATAAAGTAAGGCTGATTCAAGACTACCCTAGGCATGAAGACAGTCTCACTCCCTTGCATTCCCATATGCTGTCCAGAGCAGCCAGTCAAGAGCAGGGTCAGAGCAAGTGCGCTGGGAACTGCTCATTTCCCACAAACCGTCTTACTTGTGTGTCCACCTGAGCATGTTTCTAGGGGTATAGATTATCAGGTGAAGACCCTCTATCACAGGTGTTCCGGAGAAAAAGGCCAAGGCATCTTATACCAAATAGTGTGTGGAGAACCTAAAGAAAGATTTATTAGGTAGGTGCAAAAGCAATTACAGTTTTGCAATTTTTAATTGCAAAAACTGCAGTTACTTTTGCACCTACCTAATAAATACCAGCATCTTTGCCTTCATGAAGCTTACAATGTAGTTTAAGAGGTAGAGTATCACAGGCAGGATCCTTTTCAAAACAGCAGGCAACCTCTCAATCAATTCTGTCATATATTGAAAAACCTATTATTTCTCAAACACCAATCCACGTACTTTACACACTTGATAAAAATTGTCCTAAAAGTCATATGGTGACATCTATTGGTTTTTGGTTATCCAGCTTCATTTCACTACAATCAACTTGATTTCTTTTTCAG